CAAAATGTTTTCCTGTACAGGGGTAGACCAGGCCTCCGGAAAATAGGTCTACCCTCCCCAGGCCACTTTATTGGTAGACCTGGCCTGGGACCACTGCCCTCCACTGACCCTAAGAAAACATACCCGCACGGGGAGGAGGGGGACTCTTGCAGTCTACTTTGCTTTTTTTAGTGAAATATGACAACCATGAATATGTGTGATTTTTCTTATCGGCTTCAAGAGGGAATTAGATAAAAATATGGAGCAGAGGTCCATCCGTGGCTATTAGCCACAAGGTATAGATAGGAACTCTCAGTCTGGGGCAAGTGATGCTCTGTATTCTTGGTGCTTGGGGGGGCAACAGTGGGAGGGCTTCTAGTGTCCTGGCCCTACTGCTGGACCTCCTGATGGCACCTGGTATTTTTGGCCACTGTGTGACAGAGCGTTGGACTGGATGGGCCATTAGCCTGATTCAACATTGGCTTCTCTTATGTTCTCTTTAAGTTCTAAGGTCAAGTATAGCAGATGGAACAGTCACTGTCAGAAAACTGCCTAACCTAACAAGCAGGAAGTTATTTAAATGTGATCAACCTGCCCAGACTACTTGTTTATTCAAATATTTATATCCCATTTTTCCCTGTGACTCAAGGCAGCTTACAAATCATACTGAAAATCATAATAAGGGTGGGCAAGAAAACTCATTTTTTTCTGGCTCAGTTATAGCCTGTGGGTACTATTATAGTCAATGGGCCCCATAGGCGATAATGGCGAAACAATCCAGGGGTATCTGGGGGGGCTGTTTAAAAAAAAAAAAAGCAAACCCATTTTCCAAAAAGATTGGACTGGAGTTCCAATTCTATGGGTCCCCGAAGGAGGTCCCTGCATCCTCCATTGTTTCCTATGGAAGCTCGGTTGTGAACTAAAGCAGAAATCCTCTGAGCTGGCCTCTGAAATGTTGTGCACCAGCACCCTCTAGCGCAGCTTAGCGGGAACTGTGTTCTGCTGCATGATTTTCCAAGCTGTCTATGCTGGTAGTTGCCACCACTTCCTACAGCAGTGAGTTCTACCTGTTAATTACTCCTTGGGTGAAGACATACTTCCTTTTATCTGTTCTAACCTGACTGCTCATCAGTTTTATTGAGTGGGCACAAGTAGTATTGTGAGAAAGGGAGGAAAGTACTTCTTTCTCTACCTCCATTGTTCTGCCCCTCCAGCATCATGTTTGTATTAGAACATAGAATAAGTTGTCCCGGAGTCTCTGACTCTCCTGGGTAGAGACATGGGACAGCTAGAGAGCTAATATGGGTCCTGGAATGTTATACTGGATTGTTTTTGAGTCTGCCAAATACAGCTTTCACTGAATGCAAGTTCTTGAAAAATATTACTTGGTGAATGGTCCTAGTGGGACAACTGAATGCTAGTAAGCCTGAGCTCGCGCTCTGTGTGTGTGTGTGTGTGTGTGTGAGAGAGAGAGAGAGAGAGAGAGAGAGAGAGAGAGAGAGAGAGAGAGAAGTGTTTCTGTGGAACACCTTCCTGCTCCCAGATCCTAGGGGTGAAGTTCTCCAGTTGACATTAATGCCACTGCGTTTTTGCAAGAGCTGTCACGAGGGGAAAGGAAGTTGTGTGAAGCAGGCCTTCAGTTTGCAGGACTGAACTTTTCAGCTGTCCCTTGTCTAGGAGTGTTAATTCTTTCTTCCTTTGAGCTGTGGCTTTTATACTCTGAAGATTATAAGCAAGGGATGTAAATGCCCAGTGCTAACTCTCTTCTGTTTTTGCAGTACCTGAACAGCTTTGAAAATGCATTCTCTTTTCGCCTGGGTTTAACACAGCTTAGAGAGTCTGTGACCTTGAACTGGAGCTGCAAGACCCTGAATCTGCCAGTCACGCTCTGCTGTTTCTAGTTCTGTCCCAAGGTGGGCCATTCTGTGCCAAGAGTTCTGATTGGCACGGGGTTCTCCAAGGTCAGGCAGGTGTTTTCTAGCCTGGATACCCAGGATCCTTTTTAACTAGAAAAGAGGTGACTTGGGGTGGGGGGAGAACGTGGTGCACGGGGTGGAGAGTTGACAAAGAACCCCCCCCTCCCAAAATATGAGCACTCGAGGGCAAAGCTGACAGGCAGTAGATTCAGAATGGATAAAAGGAGGTATTTCTTTACAGTGTTTAGAATGTGGAGTTCTCTGCCAGAGGGTGTGGTGATGGCCACAGGCATAGACAGCTTTAAAGGGGGATTAGATAGATTAGCCTCTGAATCCCAGAGCCAGGAAACAACATCGGGGGAAGGCCTCTACGCCCTATTGTTGGCCCTCCAGAACTAGTTGGCCATTGTGTGAGGCAGGATGCCTGACCGGGCGAGCCACTGGTCTGATCCAGTGCACGGGGTGGAGAGTTGACAAAGAACTCCCCCCTCCCCGTCCCAAAATATGAGCACTCAGGGCAAAGCTGACAGGCAGTAGATTCTGAATGGATAAAAGGAGGTATTTCTTTACAGTGTTTAGAATGTGGAGTTCTCTGCCAGAGGGTGTGGTGATGGCCACAGGCATAGACAGCTTTAAAAGGGGATTAGATAGATTAGCCTCTGAATCCCAGAGCCAGGAAACAACGTCGGGGGAAGGCCTCTACGCCCTATTGTTGGCCCTCCAGAACTAGTTGGCCATTGTGTGAGGCAGGATGCCTGACCGGGCGAACCACTGGTCTGATCCATGTTCTTATGTTCTTAACTAGAGATCTCAGTTATAGGGCTTTCAGCAGTGCCATAGGTCAGAGGTACCACCTGAGATCGTTTTGGTCTCCAGAGGAGAGTGTCGGAGTGATATTTGTAGGCATGTGTATAATCCGGTGTCATGCTTGCAGGATCCATTCAGAATCTGGTATGTTTGTGGCTCTCGAGGGAATGCGTCTGTGCAGACACTTTGTTGGAGACGTAGCAGAGCAGTCGTTCAGTCTGCCAAACAACGCTGCTCTCCCGCACCCCCCATGCATGTGGAGACCGATATGTGTGTGTGTCGTTGCATGTTTATAATGTGAAAATGGTTGCACAAATGTGTGTTGACTTTTGAGGTCCCATTCACAGATGATGAAGCTGGTCTTGGGATAGCAAAAAAAGGATTACTTCAAGCATTACCAGTAGATATCCGCCAGCTTAGTCAGGAAGAGCATGTGCCAAGTTTGTGTATCATGTAGTACACGTGGGTTGTACCGGCCAGTTGCATCACATGTGAAGTAGCTGTATTCTTAAGCCTCCGCTTAGTCAGGAAGAGCATGTGCCAAGTTTGTGTATCATGTAGTACACGTGGGTTGTACCGGCCAGTTGCGTCACATGTGAAGTAGCTGTGTTCTTAAGCCTCCATGTCTCAAAGCAGCAGCGCAAGGAATGGCCCATGAAGGTACAAACGATGTCTACATTCTGGTGCAGAATTCCTTTTGGATATATGCACAAACCAGGAAGCTGCCTTGTACTGAATCAAAAGCCTCGGTCCGCCAAGGTCAGTCTTGCCTACTCAGACTGGAAGCAGCTCTCCAGGGTCTCAGGAGAGGTTTTTCACATCACCCACTACCTGACTCTGTCAGCTGGAGATGCTGGGGATTAAGCCCGTGACCTTCTGCAGGCTGAGACAATGCTCTGCCACTGAGCCACGGCCCCACCCATAGAGACGGGGAACTCTTACCTATGAGGATCTTTCTCTGTGGTGCCTTCTTAGTGAGTGTACGGCTGTTCTTCTGGAACTAAGCACGGGAGTTGCCAGTGGAGTATCGGATCAAGTTCAAGGTGCTGGCGTTGACCTTTAAGGCCCTGAGCGGCCAGGGGCCCACGTATCTTCGGGACCGCCTCTCTCAGCACGCCCACAGAGCAGCATTACGCGCTCAGGAAATAAGAACGTTTTGGCAGTCCCTGGCCCGAGAGAGAGCCGGCTTTTTCGACCCTGGTCCCGGCCTGGTAGAACGCTCTGCCAGAGAACATCCGCGCCCTGCGGGGTCCGTTACCTTTTCACAGGGCTTGCAAGGCAGAGACGTTCTGCCAGGCATTCGGCGGAGGACAGCAACGGCACAGTCTGCGGTCTGGCACACTCATGCCCCCCCACCCGTATCCCCCCCCAGGGGGGCTGTGAAAATTTTATCCTCACGCTGTTTTCTGCCATCCCGAGCTGACTCTCTTATGTATCAACTGTTATCTATTGTAGGTTTTTACTTTTGGTAGCCTTGTATGCTGTCGTGTGTGGTTGTATTGGATTTTATTGTCGGTTGCTCTGAGCCCAGCTTGCAGGGAAAGGCGGCCTAAAACTCAAGTCAATGATAGCAATGATACCAACCACCACCACTGGGTAAACTGGAGGTTTGCCAGGGCCAGGCATCAGCCACCGGTTCAGGCAAGCCTCTCTCTGTCTCCGTGGGGAGAATAATCCCGGCCTACCTTGCAGAGCTGTTGCAAGGACCACTGTCTGAATTTAAGCAAAGCCCTTTGAGTGCTGCAACCAGGATTCAAATGTGCAGGATGATGACGCTTCCTCTCTTCTTTAACCACTAAAAAGTACTCGAACCCCACGTATCCCCCCCCTTCCCCCCAGGTTGAATAAATTCCTTATATGTGAGCCTGCAGGGACACCTGTATAGAAACAAGGAAGCAGGCGAGAGAGAGATTCACTGTCCTGGGAGAACCTCCGCCCGTAAATTAGTGGAGGATGCAGAGGGAGGGGGAGGGAAATGGAGGAACAGCAGCAATTAATAATTTGCTTTACTGTAGTAGGATTATTACACCATAGTGCTTATGGCAAAATGTCTCTCTAGAGGCCGTGGCTGTTAAATCTTTTTTTTTTCTCTCCCCCCTTTAGAACATTTATAATCCAAACAAAAATAATTCTCTACAAAAAAAGTGTCTGAACCGTAAACTATACGGCAAAGCCTGGATAAGGACGTTACATGTTGGCGCGGTACATAGCAGCCTCCTTTCCTCCGGTCCCGGGGGCAGGACACGGGAAACCGAACTCTTGCAACCAAAGGGTAAAAAGTATAAAACTTAACAAATTCAGCAACTTGATTTGTAGGCAACGGTATCGTTTACGTCTGGGCTAGCGAGAGTGGGCCGACGCGGCGAGGTGGGGGAGGGCCTGGCCAGTCCCCCTCTGGCTTCCTGGAGCTGCCCGGCTCGCTTCGGAGTGACTCTTCCCAGACAGCAGACCGGAGGAGGAAAAGAGGGATGGGGGGGGGGGAACGGCAGAGACCCGGAGTCCCTGCCCATGTCCTTAGCAGACTTCCTCACACCCTGTGCACAGTGGAGAAACAAAACGGTCACCACTTGAAAGAAAGAAGAAGCGGCGCGGGTTTCCTGCACCCCCAACGCGGGGCTGGCCACTCCGTCCCCCGATGGATCGTCCCTGTGGCCTCTCCCGTGCAGCCCTCGCCTCCGGAGAAGGTCCTCAGCAGCATGGGGAGAAAGGAGACGCAGCCGCCGGTTTCCCTTTTGCTGTTTTCTGTGAGCTGGGAAAAGAGGCTGGGGGGGGGCAGAACTGGCAGCAGCGGGGTCCCCCCCCAATCGTGTCCCCCCTCCCCCTCCAGGTCCTCTTTGGGGGCAATCTGTTCCTCTCGGGCTCTCCTCCGGCAGGCGGGTTTCAGAGGCCCCCCCAGTGTGGCAGCTGCAGGGCCAGAGCGCTGAGGAGGAAGGCGGTGGGGCTGGGGAGGGCGCTGGAGGCCCCGTCGCAGTCCTGGTGCTCCCCTTCGCACTTGTGCTGCTCGCAGAGGACCCCCTTGAAGCCTGGTGGGCAGAGGCAGCGCTGGTTCTCGTAGCAGGTGCCTCCGTTCTGGCACAGCAGGAGCTCGTCGTCGCAGACGTTCGCTGGGGAAAGGGGAAAAGAGGAAGTGGTGGGTGGGTCGGTCGGGGGTCCAGCCCAGGCTGCGTTCCCTTTTCAGAACCCCTGCCTCACCCTCTGGCGGCGTGCAGCATCCCCCTGACAGAGCAAACGGCAAACAGAACAGCCCGGGGCCAGCTGCCAGACAGAAGGCCGCTTTCAACGTGTTTTTCACCGGGGGGAGGGGGGAGTGCCAGGAGCTGTTGCTTTTAACTACTCGCACAGAGGCATGTGTCACTTGCACCAGGTCCAGAAGCTCCGGTTCGTTTCACCCCACTGCTCCTTGCCAGCCTCCATCCCATGGCCAGGATTCTCAATGGTCATGAACCTGCAAGAGTGGCTGTGAAGCTCTGACCCCCACGGTGGCTCCAGCAGGGGGCGATTCTTATGGGTGCTGGAGGGGGTGCGGGGGGGGAGGGTATATCAAGGTGCAGAAGCTCAGCCAGAGCCCCTGCTTTTCACCTGCAGGAGAGCCCAGGTGTCCTGCTTGACCCCCCCCCTTAAAAGGATCGCAAGTGGCAGGGCCCTTCCTCTGGAGATCCCTTGGACAGGCAGCTCCATTGGAAACATCGCTAAGTGGGGACACACACACCCCACCCCACCCACCCCCCAGGGCCCAGGCCTCAATGAGGCTGCTGTTTCTGAAAGCCTCCTGCTGGTGGGTGGCAACAATTCTGTTTTCTGGATCGGAATGGAAAGGAGCCTCCTTTTACATTCAAAAGGAGGCGATGGTATGGCGAGGGGCCGTCAAGTCACGGGTGACTGATGACAACCCCTCAAAGGGTCTCCAAGGCAAGAGACGTTTGCCCCCGACTGCCTCTGCATAGCCACCCTGGACTTCACTGATGGTCTCCCACCCAAGTACTGACCCAGGCCGGCCCTGCTCGGCTTCCACGCTGATGGTCTCCCACCCAAGTACTGACCCGGGCCGGCCCTGCTTGGCTTCCACGATCTGATGGGATCAGGCCCTCAAGACGAGGCCCTTCCTCCAGCAGCTCCCAAGCCAACAAACTGGCCGCCTCTTTGCATGCCCTGCTCCCCTTGCCGGGCAGCTGCCCTGTCCAAGCCTCGGCCCACTCACACTGGGGGAGAGGGGCAGGAGCCATACCTTTTCTAGCTTACAGCTAGAGACCCCTTCAACAGCATGAAGCCACTGGCCATATTGGTGGCACAGACGGGTGTGTGTGTGTGGGGAAGCTAAGCACTCCGTGCCGTCTCCCTGTTCCCACAGCCGTAAAGCAGCTGCAGCATCCGACGTGGTGCCTTAATTGTCCGGGGGTGGCCCAGGCCATCTCCATTGTCCCAGCTCACAGTGTGGGAAATTCTGCTTTCTGGAGACACATCCGGTAGAGGGTGGTTTGGCAGTCCTGGCCCTGCGTTCCAGCCCTGCCCTCCTCTTGCCCGGCTACCAGACTCTGCAGTCCCACTCCCTACCAGGCAGCCGTCTGCAGAGGGCTGTGGGCCACAGATGGCCCCTGACATGGTAGCCGTTCGCTCCGGCCTGCCATTTGCAGCCCGTGAGCCGTCTGGCTTTGCTGCCTGCCTTGGCCTGCAGAAATGGGGCGGCTGCCGGACAGACAGTCCGGCGGTCCGAAGGGCGTGCAGCCCAGGGGGAGAGGCAGGCTGGCCCCCTGTTGCTGTCTAACCACGTGAAGCTGCCTTATACCGAGTCAGACCCTCCATCCATCAGCCTTGTCTGCTCAGACCAGCAGCCGCTCTCCAGGGTCTCAGGCGGAGGTCTTTTGCATCACCTGCTGCCTGGTCCTTTTAGCTGGAGAGGCCGGGGATTGAACTGGGGACCTTCTGCATGCTAAGCAGAGATGCTGCCACTGAATTGGGCAACTTTTCCCTCTCCTTCCCCGAGTGAGCAGGCCCTCCTCTCCCACGGCTGCGTGCCCCAAGGGGTGGGCAGTACTTACGGAAGCAGCCCTGTCTCCAGTAGTAGCTGGGCAGGCAGTCGTCACACTTGGGCCCCGTGACGCCTTCCTTGCAGTCGCAGTAGCCCGTGTCGTTGCAACGGTTGGCCACCGAGCCGATTCGGTTGCAGTTGCAGTCTGCCCAAATAATAACAACAAGAGTTGGTTTTTATACCCCGCCCTTTGCTACCCAAAGAGCCAGTCTGGCGTAGAGGTTAAGTAAGTAAAGGTAAAGGTTCCCTTGCTCAAAAGCCAGTCAAATCCAACTCTAGGGTTGCGGTGCTCATCTCCGTTTCAACGCAGAAGAGCGACCGCTGTCCGAAGACGTTTCCGTGGTCATGTGGCCGGCATGACTAAACACCAAGGCGCACGGAACGCTGTTACCTTCCTACCGAAGTGCTACCTATTTATCGACTTGCAATTTCTTGCTTTCGAACTGCTAGGTTGGCAGGAGCTGGAACTAGAGACGGGAGCTCACTCCGTCATGTGGCACACCCGGGTCTCGAACTGCTGAACTACCAACCTTCCACAGCCTGCAGTTCAGCGTCTTAACCACTTGAGCCACCACAGCTCCTACAGTTGCTTTACTGTACACGGACTCTAATCTGGGAGAATCGGGTTTAATTCCCCCCTCCTCCACTTGGAGCTGCTGGATGACCTTGAGCAAGCTGTAGTTCTGGCACAGCTGTTCTTGAAAAAGAGCAGTTTCTGTCAGAGCTCTCTCAGCCCCACCTGCCTCACAGGGTGTCTGTTGTGGGGAGGGGAAGGGGAAGGAGTTTGTAAGCTGCTCCGAGACTCCGAGTGAAGGGCGGGGTATAAATCCAATCTCTTCTTCTTCTCTTCTTCTTACAATCTCCTTTCCCTTCCCCCTCCCCACAACAGACACCCTGTGAGGCAGGTGGGGCTGAGAGAGCTCCTTTGAGAACAGCTCTGAGAGAACTGTGACTGACCCAAGGTCATCCAGCTGGCTCAATGTGGAGAAGTGGGGAATCAAACCCAGTTCTCCAGATTAGAGTTTGCCACTCTTCACCACCACACACTGTGAGTCAGGCACAGCTGAGAGTCCTGGAGATTGCCAGCCTGCAGAGATTGATTCCCCGCGAGGAGGACATTGGCTGCCTTGGAGGGCAGATTCTATACAGCCTCGTTTCCCTCCTCAGGCACCACCCCCAGATCTCCAGGGCTTCCCCAGCCCTGCAGGCTGGATTCTCTGCACTCTCGGTCTGCCCTTTCCCAAAGTGGGGGGAGGTTTTCAATAGGAAGCTGCAGAATCAGGGGCCGTGTGGGAGGAGCTTTTGTGGTGGCAGACCTCTCCGCCCTGCTTTGGCCGGCACTGACGAGGGGGCGAAGCAGAGAGTCCTGCTTGGAGCCGGACAGCCACAGGCAGAAGTCGTCAAATGATTCCGGAAAAGGCTTCGCTCGCAACTGCAGGACACCGAGGAACTGCGGGAAGGGCTTGTGAAGGGATGTTTGGTGCTGTCAAGTTGTAGCCAATTTAGAATGACCCCTCGTGGGGTTTTGAAGGCAAGAGACGCTCAGAGGGGATTTTGCCACCGCCTGCCTCTGCGTAGCAACCCTGGACTTCCTTAGGGGGGGTCTCCCATCCAAGTCCTCACCAGGGCCGACCCGGCTTAGCTTCCAAGAAGTGACCAGACTGGCTCGCCTGGGCCGTCCGGGTCAGGGCAAAGGGTGTCTTTAGGGTATAATTTGGGGGGGGGCACTGCCAGTGAGGCGGGAGGAAAGGATGCATCCTTCTGCTGTGAGTTCTGAGATGGATTTTCAAAAAAACACAAAAGAGGGGCTCGTGCCGCCTTCCCGTCAGCAAGCGGCTGCCTCCCGGCTTCTAAGGTACCAGTCCAAAGCCAGCAAAGCCATGACAAGCCCCTGGCATTTTTGAATAATGCAACATTTAATCCTGTCCCTGTGCTGCCTTTCTAGTCCTATCCCACCTCCACCGTATGCTCGACCGGCACACTTCCGGCCAGGCCAGATGCCTGTTGGGGCTTCCGGGATCCCTCCATGTCCCCTGACCCAACCCTACTGTCAGCTTCAGCTCCGGGCAGAAGGGGCAGAGCTCTCTCTCCTGCCGCCCTCTGAACGCCTCTCCCCTCTCCTTAACTCCTCTGCAGTGCAGGAAGGGGGTGGGAGAGAAAGCAGGAGGAGGTGAAATGGGAAGAGTGCCTCAAAGGGCCCCCTTCCGCCCTCCCCGCCTCCCTCCTTGGCCAAAGGGGCCACTGACGGGTGTGTCTTTCTCCAGGGCTTCCGGAGTCCCGGTACTGGCCCCGAGGGACTCTCGCGCCAGGCAGCAGGAGATGCCCATGCCAGGGAAACAGGAGCCTCAACCCGGACTGGGGCAGGGGAAGGCTCGCAAGGAGAATCCCCCTCTCGGGCAACCGTCAAGCGTGGGGCTTCCCTCTGGCAAAGCCCCTCCGCCCCCACCCGCCCGCGCAGAGCGCTCCAGAGGGCGGCCGTGTCGGTCAGCAGCAGAACAGCCGGGTTCGAGTCCAGCAGCCCCTTGGAGGCCAACGAGGTTTCCGGGGCACGAGCATCTGAGAGTCAAAGGCCCCCTTCACCGGATACGAAGGCCTGACTCTGGAAAGCTCACAGCTCCGAAATCTTCTCGGCCTCTAAGGTGCAAACGGACTCCAATCCGGCTGTTCCGCTGCCGGCCGACACGGCCTTCCTCCGTGGAAGACGCGGCCTTCAGGGGCACGCAGAGAAGACACCACCACCACCACCCCCGGCCTCACCGATGCAGACGTTCTCGTCGTCGAGTTCTGCGGAGCTGTTCCGGTAGTAGCCCAGCCGGCAGTGCTGGCAGTGCTGGCCCCGCGTGTTGTGCTTGCAGCTGATGCAGGTCACCAGGTTCAGGAAGTCGATGAAGCTGCAGCGGGTGGAGTGGCCGTAACACTCACAGTCTGTGGAGAGCAAAGGGGGGGACGGGAAGAGAATGAGGCATCGCTCTGACTTGGCTTCTCTGTTGCTTGCCTGGCCCCTGACAACGAAGGATGGGGCACGGCAGTGGGGGAGAGCAAACGGATGCCACGGGGAGAGGCATGAAAGCTGGCAAGACCCACCGGGAGGAGTTGCTTGCAATGGTCCCTCTAAGCTGTGGAGTCTTGTGGGCAAAAATTCTACTTTGTGAGCTCCTGGCATTAAAGTGATGAGCAAGTGATTTGGCTACTGCATCAGATTAGTTTGTTCTGAAGCCACCCTTCCTGAGCTAAGACAAAAATGTGTGAGCTGGAGGCTAAAAACCTGTGAGCTCGCTCACGCTAACTCAGCTTAGAGGGAACACTGGTTGCTTGCTGTGTCCCTCTGGGGGTGGGGGACTCTGGCTCTCCCACTTGGGAAATCAAACAGATCTCCAGTGGCACCTTAAAGACTAACAGCATTCCAGTATGCGCTTTCATGAGTCGCCACACAGCAGTCCTTCGGATAGGTCTTGAGTTCCACGCACACCTGAAGAAGTCATCAGTAACCCATGAAAGGTCACGTGGGGATAAATGTTGTTAGTCTTTAAGGTGCTCCGGACTTCTGTTTTGCTATGACAGGCTGACACAGCTACCCCTTGACAATGTCACCTATGGGCTCTAACGAGAGTTGCCAACCTCCAGGCAGGGTCCAGAGATCTCCCAGAATTACCATTGACAGAGATCACTTCCCCTGGAGAAAATGGCTCCTTTTGAGAACTATACTCTGCTGAGGTCCCGCCCCTAACCAAACTTCACTCTCCCAAGGATCCACCTCCAAATATCCAGGAATTTCCCGACCTGGAGTTGGCAGCCTTAGGTCCAACCAGTGGCAGGACCCTCCCTAAGAACTTTGGGGAGGCCGTGGTCTCTCTCCCTCCAACTCTGCACAAGCACCTCTACCAGGGATGCGGAAACAGGACTTTGTGGCCACAATCCCCCATATCACCCTCTGTTTGTGCGCGTGCTCCTATACTTGTCCAAATACTGCTGGGTGGCAGATGAGCTCCTTTACAAAGAGTAAAGCAAAAGGAAGCATCATTTTAAAACATTTATGAAAGCCAACCTTCCCTATAGGAGCACTTGCGCGTTTCCTGGGCTACTAATTCTTTAAGGGGGAGGAACTGGGTCGGGTTGGTGGGTTCTGGTGCCCTCCCCATGAATGGCTGAGTTCTCGCAAGTTCATTCCCTTCACCGGGGGAGCAGAACCCAGCACGGAAACTCCCCCTGAAGTATCCTTGGGGCCAAGGCCCTGTGCATTTTGATGGTAAACGCCACCGTGCTCTGAATGCAATGGATGCAATGGCATGCAGACGCCACAAGCCGACGGGGACATGGGGAGCGGCAGACATGCAACAGGCTTCATGAAACAAGCCATCCGACGCAGGGAAGGGGCCCGGGCCTGCCCCACCCCCACCTTCCACAGCTTCCTCCGGAGGAAACGGGGACTGTGCTAGGACCATGAAGGATCAGCCCATTAGGCCTCGGTTGTCTCACCATGCTGGACCTGGCATGGAAAAGGTCGCAGAGGAAGCATTCCCCACCATGTTAGGAAAATCATCACCCACTAAGTTCCGCCCAGCTGGCTGCTTTTAAAGAGGGGGGGAGGGGGCAATCGATCTGTTGAATGGTCCCCTTCAGGGCTTTTTTTGTAGAGAAAGCTCGGCAGGAACTTATTAGCATAATAGGCCACACCCAACAGCAGAAACGCATTAGCACATCAGGCCACACCCCTGACAGAGCAGCTCATTAGCCTATTAGGCCACAGCCCCATGTTACCAGAAGTGTGGTCATCCAGCCACACCCACCTTTTGCTTCTTATTCTGTTTACTTTGTTTGTTGTCAAAACCCAGGGCCCTTTTTGTAGCAGGAACTCCTTTGCATGTTAGGCCACACACCCCTAACGTAGCCAATCCTAATGAGTTTCTGCTGTTGGGTGTGGCCTATTATGCTAATTAGTTCCTGCTGGGCGTGGCCAACTCGGGAGCCAGCCGGAACGCCGTTCCTGTGCGTTCCTGCCCCAAAATAGTCCTGGTCCCCTTTATCTGCTCGGTTGTTGAAAGGCTTCGAGTTTGGGTGCTTGAGCGAGGCGGAGCAAGTGTTCATTCTGTGACGTGGCCCCCACAAATGTCGTTCTGGTTCCTCCGGGGCAAAAGAATGTTGTGATTAGGCTTGGTTCTCATTGAGGCGGTACAACCATGACTGGACCGCGGGGGAGGCTCATGACATGAATGCTCTGCCATACCAAATAAGTAAATTGATCCCTGCGCACAGAAAGCTAACATGACTGGGAGAAAACTAGGCCCCTGGCTTATTTAAAAGGCCCCTGAATTTAAAATAAAAATAAAAATCCCGGCTCCGGGCCTGTTGTAGACAGAACGGGTTACTCGTACGGTTCAGCCTTTCCCAGGACTCCTGGGCCTTTCTGGGCCTGCGTTCTCCCTCTGCCTCCTCTTACCTTTAAACGTCTCGATGGGTGCCAGTGGGACTGAGCTGGACTTGAGCCGGATGAGTTGGGAGACCTTGGAAGATGCTTGGGAGATTAAAGACACCACTTGTTTGTTGTTGCTACGCCACACACAACACACGTCTCCTACAAGCGGGTCTAGTGCTACGCAGACCAAAGCAAAGCCACCCTACTGGCACTGCCCAACGTCAGCTTCCACACAGTCACTGAGAGCTTTGCCAAAGCTTCTGTTTTCTGCCCCCCAACCTCCCAAAGCCTGGGGCACCTTCAGGGCAGGCTCACAACGTGTGCCCATAGGTGGTACATGCATGCACCGAGGATAAAGACAGTCTCTGGCCCAGCCATGGTTCTCCTAGACCTACATTTTGAAGGCTGCAGACAGCTGAAGAGCCCTACTGGATCGGAGTGATGGCCCATCTTGTGCCGCATTCTCTCTCTCCAAAGAGCCAACCAGATACTCCCAGGAAGCCCACAAGTAGGAACCTGGAAGCTCCAGCCTTCACCAGCGTTGTTTGCCACTTCCCAGAAGACAGGATTCAGAGCTACACTGTCTCTGAATACGGTAGTTTCAGCCATTAGGGCTACATTGCTCTCTAACCCGGATAGCACTATCAAGATAATCACCACCACCTTTGCACTGGCACAGAGTCTTGCTGGGAAAGCCCTGGTCTGCTGGCACACGCCGAGGGGTGACCCTCCAGCCCTGCACGACAGAGGGCCCTCGTTCACACACACGGCAGAGCCTGCCCTTGACTGCCCAGCAGCAACACTAGCAGGCAAGCAAGACAGGGCACCAACCGGCCCTGTAACTGACTGTGGCTGCGGCAGTGGCGGAGCATTGCGGGGGCACAGGGAGTACCTGCTTTCTTGGAATGTTTCCGGCCGGGGCCGTGTGTGGCCTTGCTCTTGGGCGGGGCTGCGTGGGAGATGAGGAAAATCAGCAAACAAGAACACAAACTCCTGAGCAAACATGGGAGGAAAGGGGGGGATGCCCAACTTGTGCTGCACCGCTGGGCCCATGCAAGGCATCACTGTGGCTATCCGTGTCTTCCTCTGGCAGTAGGGTTCCCTGCTCCCGGCTGGGGAGCATCACTGTGGCTATCCGTGTCTTCCTCCTGCAGTAGGGTTCCCTGCTCCCGGCTGGGAAATTCCTGGAGCTCTGAGGGTGGAGCCTGGGGAGGGTAGAGTCCGGGGATGGACAGGGACCTCGGTGGAGTGCGAATGCCATAAAGTCCACCCTCCAGAGCAGCCATTTTCTCCAGGGAACTGAGCTCTGTGGCCTGGAGGCCAGTTGTAATCCCAACAGATCTCCAGGCCCCACCTGGAGGCTGGCAAGCCTGTTCTGCAGGCACAGTGTCCGCCATTCCCCTGCCCAGGATCTCCGTTGCAGCCCCAGTGGCGGCGTGGCTGAAGAGGCGTGGCAGCCAAGGTGGCCCACTCCAGTCTGGGAAGGTCTTCCGGGTTTGGGAGCAGGTAGGGGAGGGAGCTTAGTGGGGCACAATGCTGCAGACTCCGCCCTCCGGAGCTGCCGTTTCCTCCAGGGGAACTGATCTCTGTTGCCTGCAAATCAGCTGTAATTCTGGGAGGGCTCCAGGGCCGCCCCCCCCCCCCGGAGGCTGGCAACCAGTGTTCCCCCTAAGCTGAGTCAGTCTGCGCTAGCTCACAGTTTTTTAGCCTCCAGCTCACACATTTTTGTCTTCGCTCGGGAAGGATGGCTCCAGAGCAAACTGATTTATGCAGTCGCCAAATCGCTCGCTCGCAATTTTAATGACAGGAGCTCACCAAGTGGAATTTTTGTTCACAGGGCTCCACAGCTTGGAGGGAGAATTGCCGGCCACCTGAGCACCCTCCTCACGGTGTTACCCTAAATGGCCATTTGGGCAGAGAACTGGCCCTGCTCCGCTGTGGGTGACTGGGGAGTCCACCTGTGTAAGCAGCAGCACGCGCCCCCCCCCCCAAGGCGTCCAGGTGCAGAGGGAGAGAGAGGGCAGGGCCGCAAGCCCCCAGAAGCGATGTTCTGGCAAGCACTCTCTGTCTTGCTGCTAGGGTGTGATGAACTTCTCAGCACAGCTGTGAAAAGGGCAGGCGTACTCCAAGGCCTTGGCGACCCTTTGCTGGAGTGATGTCGAGCAGCCAGGATGAGTGCCGTCAAACGGTGTGGAGCCGGAGGAGACGGTGACGCTGCTCCTCAGACCCAAGGTCAGGACCTCCCCCAGGAGGGTGGCCCAGGTGGGACCAGGTTTCCGAAGATGAGTTTTTGCCACAAGGACTGCCAGCTCTGGGTGGGAAGATCCCTGGAGGTTTGGGGGGTGGAGCCTGGAGCAGTGCTCCCTCCAAGCTGTGGAGTGTTGTGAGCAAAACCTCTCCTTTGTGAGCTACTGGCATTAACGTCGTGAGCAGGGCCTTTTTTGTAGAAAAAGCCCAGCAGGAACTCATTAGCATAATAGGCCACACCCAACAGCAGAAACCTATTAGCATA